GATTTGAAACCATATCTACCTATATATACATATATACATATACAGTTGTTCAAGTTCGAGTAATTCTTTCGTAGAAATTAATAAATCAACACTTTGTGTTTACACCATCTTGTATCGTTGGTCTATAAGACATATTTATACACTCTTAATGTGTGCCASTAATGTTTGATGCATCAACAGCTTTAAAGTCTCATGGGATCACCTGACTTCCTGTCATGTGATAGAATTGGAAAATTAAACGAGACTTACCTGTAAGTTGAAGTTTGATTGAGATTCTATCACATGACATTGGAAGGAAGGAGATCACATGTCCGCCTCTTCCCGCCCTTGTCTATTTATACATTATATCAGCTGGGGTATATAAATGTATATATTTCTGGATTTTATGTTGATGCAACAAACATCGTTTTAAAGAATGACTTGCGCAAGCGCTGTGCTATCTCATGTGATCTCCTTCCTTCCAATGTCATGTGATAGAATCTCAATCAAACTTCAACTTACAGGTAAGTCTCGTTTAATTTTCCAATTAAAATGAATGAATGAAAAAGTGAAAAGCAGAAAGGCATATAAAAACTCCTAACAAAAAGGAATGAATGAAAAGGATTTTTTTTTTGCAATACTTAGCACAATCTTATATACTTTTTTATGTGCTTTGTACCTGAAATCTATGACTACATGTAGCTTCTGTTGAAGATCAATAATAAAAGAAATAACGTGAAAGTAACGTTAACTAGAAATGTTCACAAGAAGAAACAACTAAAGAAGAATAAGGAAACTTGGCGAGATCAGCGCAACAGGCCAGAGGGTTATGTAAAAGACGTACATACCGATGACACTGCAATCGCTACACTAAGTGCTAGTAGAGAAACGAGTTTAATTTAACACTAACCAAAAAGACGTACTGTTCAAGAGAATGACACCTGGTGTTGAATAATCTGCCATTTGTCACTAGCTGAAAGAACCATATAATTGGAGGTGCCCGCGGGAAACAGGTATGACTGTATTAATCTACAGGTAAAACAGGTATGACTTAAGTGCAGCTTCTTATGATCCTATATTCCTTTAGACTTTTTTATTATTCACACACATAAATTCACTTAAAATAATAAATTTAAATCAAATGTATAAAAATAAATTACAAAAAAAAMCAAMAAAAAAACCAGTAAATTGAAATAAAGTTTGGATATACGATAAATGTGCAAAAAAAGTTTGAATATAAAGCGTGACGTCACAGCGGCCATTATGGGGCACCAAATCAATACATTTTCTATCCTCCGGGAATTGAACTCTATCTTTATGCAAATACTGTTTTTACAATAACTTACAAATTTCTCGCGCGCTGATTGGTTATTTTTTTTCATCGATAAGAGGACAGACAGATAAAGCTGACGTCAACCAGCGCGAGCTCTTTCCGTTGGTTGTTTTGATCGCTAAAAATGAGAAGTTTTATCGTTTTGTTATTGTAAAAAACAAATTGACATCAGATTTTTATGTGTCTGTCCTCTTATTGACAATAAATTTCGCCATCACATTGTCAAAGTACTATGCGGATCCACTCGGCTACGCCTCGTAAATCCACACTACTTTGACAATGTGATGACGCAATTTATTGTCAATAAGAGGACAGACACATAAAAATCTGATGTCAATTTGTTAAGTAGAAAGTTTCTATTGTTTATGGCTGCCTTTTCACGTGAATGAAAACACTCTATACATACCTAAATTCTAATAATTCGATCTAAAAGGGCATAGATAAAAATTTTTATGTGTGATTCTAGTTACCCTTTTTTCAATGCTGCCCTCGTGTTGTTACGTTACCCTCGTTACGTTACAAACATATCAAGTTGGATTTCGATAAGCTTTAGTTTTAAGTGTGCTAGTGAGAATGTTGTTATTATCATCGTCCGTCATTGATCATCTTCGGTATCTCTTTCCCCTTTTTTCTTTAACATCTTCTTTTGCAATGTACTACTCCTGTCCGTTGTGTCTCTGAGCGAGCGCTAGAACGACTATGCACTTAAACAAAGATATTTATTATTTTATACCGTACTCCGTCTATTAAGCCCCCTGAGGGCTTAGTTTTTTTCAGTGCTTTTTGAACTGGTGGCTTATGAGAAGGCGATGGGCTGATTAGATACTGGGGCTTAATAAATTTTAAATAGTTCATAACCATTTTTATTCACAACCTCGACAGGTGGTTTTCAAAGGCCTGCCAAAGTTTTGTAAACTAAACATGTCTGTTGTTCAGTATTGTTGTTAGCGACAACTGGCTATGAAAACGATCTATGGTTTCCGCTATTCCCCTAGAAATAAAGACATTGCTTGTGATAGCAATTTTGACATTACTAAGCTAAATGCTCAAGTCGTGTGGCAGATTTCTGTACGTTAATGACTTTTCTCACTCTCATGTCACACTACAAAATCTCTAAAAGAAAGTTTGAAATGTTGTATTCAGTTTATCTAATTTAGATTTTTTAAGTTACAAGTTACGATTAATTGTAATTAGGGAAAACGTAAAATAGATTCTTAGCCTTTCCAATGGCGTAATGAGTTTTTTTATTTGAATTCCTGTGATCCTCATTAAGGTGACTACCTACTTTAGGAAATTGATTTAMGCTTTTCTTAAAACTTCGATTTTCCGAATTGMAATTTAATGCTGATTCCAAATCTGGAAAGAAAAATAGGGTGTCCCGAGCTCGTTTTCGAGATAATCAGCATTTAATGGAAGCCTACGCACGAGCTTTTGGAGTAAAAATTGCGCCACCGGATTAGAAAAAAAAAGTAAGATTAATAAGATAATAGTTATTTGCAGACTATATGATTGCACGAACGAAGGCTAGTCAATCCTTCTACAATAATACATGGATATTTTCGACAAAAAGACAGAGAGATACATTGATTTGTCATATTTTGTAGTTTCGGTGCTCTTAAAAAATCTCATAAAGTCGAACAAAAATCCCTACAAAAATCTATTTTTTTCACGTGTTCCTGATTTCAACTTTTCCTGTTAAATGTTGATATAACCTAGATTTTTAGGAGTTTTTTAGAATGAGCTATCAAAAAATATAGAGTCCCGTGCAAAATTTGAGGGTTTTGCCCTGTTGAAGCTCAAAACGCGTATGGTTCTTCAATAAAATCTTGTAGATTTTTCAGCGGTTTTTGAGCACGCGCACATCGTGGGCTCAAATCGAACGTTCAAAAGTAGGCAGCCACCTTAAGGATAAGTTAAGTGAAATAGAAATGAAATAAAAAAGTGAAATAAAACAAAATAAGGCGTTTGTAAATTCTAGAATAGCGCTCGATAAAATCTGACTAGCCCTTTAAATTTTGAGTGCAACACTTGACCAACGTCGTTATAAGAGGAAGGTCCGAGGATGGTCTGAGATCGAACCTGCGAAAGTCTGAGCAATTTTTAGCGGGTTGCCTGTGATAAACCGCTCATAAAATACTTTTTTTTCGTCCTGATTCCTCCCCTACACGGACATGTTTGGCAATAGTACCCAGGAGTCTTCGGGACCTTACTCAAGACACCTTTGCGGGCTTCTGCTAAAGGGTTCAGGTCTACAGTCCGATCAATTAGCACGTGCCAACTGTCAATCAATGTCACTATGTTGCCAAGTGATTAAGAGAGGGCGGAGCTAGCTGGTCACGTGACGTAAATGAATGTCTACGCATGGTTTTTTTTCGTTGACTGCTGTAATTAAAGGCAGCCGATCTAGAAATATTAATTTACTCAAACATAAACCAGGGATTTCTAGCTAAATGTAAAAGGCTTCGCATAAACGAGAATTAATAAATATTTCCAATTTTCAATGACAATAGATTATTTTGGTTAAATATCCATGCTTTGATTCCTAAAGCTACTACAAATTAAATATCAGACACATATAAGTTTATTTGAGTTTTGATTTTATTATCAAGACTATAATAAAATGATAAAAATACATTTTTAAAACGTATGCATTTTTGACCTTCGCTTGAGACTGATCGTGTTTCAACTTCTAGCTCACTCGTAAATGAAAGTTTTCTTTTAGAAAGTGTTTATCAATTTCAAAACATAGATTAATCTTGGAAACTATGAAGAATCATTCAATTCTGAGAGAAATCCTGAGCAAAGATTAGCCTGTCTTACCGTTTAAACGAAGCTTTATTTAGCGACTTTTCTARCTGAACGAAGCAGAATATAATCTCTTATGGAAAACGTGCTTGTYGACACATCTTCCACCATATTTGCTAAGATCTGGAATGGTGTTCGACGTTCTCCTGGAATTTGGATATTTTGATTTTTGATTTTGATTTTCTCAATTTTATATTCGAAATATTTGTCGCTCTGTCATCTAGCAGCTTATTTTGACTTTGCCTTTAGGATCTTTAGCCCACTGAGCGACTAATCTTCCAGGTAACCCGGTCTACTCTGGCACCAGGGTCTTGTTCTTAGAAAATTAATTATAGAGTCAATAATAGAGTCAACTCATCTGATTAAAATTTCAATAAGCTTTTATTTTGAATCCTTTACTAGTCGCTATTTCTTCCGATAGAGAGAAGTCCTAAATTTCGTTAATTTTAAATGAACCATCGCGGAATGCAGCCAAAATATTAACAGTTCCTTATAAGAAGGTCTGAGAACTATTCCAGCGTACATTCCTGTACGGAGAGTTAAAAAAAATGAACGTGTTCAGATGTCAATTGAAATTGGATGAAATTTTGTTACTTGTGTTACAGATAACTTTAATCACACGTAAGTACACGATAACACTTATATACAGTAAGATAGATATCTAAAGCATAGTTAGAAGGTAGTGACGAATACTTACATTACTTACATTTTAAAATCAAGAACATAAGTACACGATAACACTTATATACGGTAAAATGGATATCTAAAAACATAGTGAGAAGGTATTGACGAATATTACTTACATTTTGAAATCAATAACATAATGGCTTGAAACCTACGAACTTTAAAATGAGTTGCGTCTGTGTGTAATACATGTTCTGTTTGAGTGCTAGCAACTATAGTCACTAAATAGCTACTATTTATCATTACGAATTTTGTTTTTAATTCATGGTTTTACTGCATGTGCTCTATTTATAATTTTTGATTTTCGAGAAACGTAGAAGGAGCAATACTTCCTTAAATTTTGTAAGGAATAATGTTAACAAAAGTGGTCAACCGTTTATAATAACGTTAAATATTTATCACAAATAGCTAAGGACTTGCCTACATGCATAAATGTGTGTTTGTGTGTGTGTGTGTGTGTKTTTTTGTTTTGTTTTTTGAATGCATCTAAAATTTGTCCATTATATTCAGTGTTGCTCACGTTAGCTGTAACATTTGTAAATGCAGACGCTAGTGCAATCGCATTACAAACTATATTTCCAAAAAAAAATCCATTAAACTAAACAAAAAACTAAATCAAATTAAGTCTTTCGTTATTTTAGCTGTACTTGCCTTGTGTCTAGAGCGTTAATAATTAATGTCATAAAACTATAGAAGTGAGACTCTTCCATATTTTAACCAGTGAAACAATGCAAAATCCCTACGGGATTAATGGTTTCTTCGCACTTTTTGAATAATCACTGTAAGAATGCTGAAGATTTCAATCACTTCAACTCCGGATACTTTAGAAAATAAAGCAGGATTAATTCGGCATATTTTATTCAAACTTCGTTTTATTACGGTCGAAGGGTACTAGCTGAGCGGTGAATTTTGTTTCGACCAATCACAGGGCCTTTAGCTGTTTTGCCGTCGGCCTTCATTCCCAAGCAACTGTAACCCAACTTTTGCTTATTTTTCTGTTTTCTTTTGATTACAATATCATATACGTGCCTACAAGAAGCAGAAATTTGGAAAGGAAGAATAACATAAATTTCTCTTCACCGCCATGTTAGTTGCTTCGTTCTTTCAAGCTCCAAATATGCTTAGGGCAGGTCATTTTGTCCACTCATGCTTGCGTTCACCGCTCAGATGGTACCTTGGAGGAATTTATAGACGACTTTAATTTATTTAACAAGGGTTGAAATAAGAAGCTACGGTAGCTAAGGGATCTAATGAACTTGTGTCTCATTTGACTGCTAATAATTTCTTTTCGGCGTCTTTTGTCATTCTGGTAGCCTCTTCGTTTTCTTGTCATGGATACACTTTTTAATAATACATTTTGGTATATGTAACTTAATATAACGTGCAGTGCGCAGTGTTAAAGAAAATATACTGGAGCTTAATCAAACAAGCACTTTTCAACACTTAGTTGGACATTCTGCCATTCCACAAGTCTATTCTTGCGTGCTGTGTGCTCTCAAAAGCCACCCATCTCGACCGTTCAAAAAGACATATATGACAGTGATTTTATTTTATTTTATTTTACTTGTTTCTTGTTACTGGTTTAAAGAAAGCAGTTCTCAAGGTTGCAAAAATATGGCTTTTCTGCAACACAAGCCTGGAAGMTATCTTCGTAACCACGTGATTCAGACAGTCACTACTACATCGCAGACTATGTGTAGAATCACTTGTTAYCTCAGTGACTCTTGTGTTTCTTATAACTTCCATGAGAGTACTGGTACGTGCGATATCAATGATTCAGATGCATTCCAACACCCTGAAGACCTGATTACCAGACCTGGCTATGTCTACCATGGTACAGAGGTATCAAAGCTGAAACCTTTCATAATTACTTATTTATATTATGATGTTCAGTGTCATCATTTATCAGGCAGCMAGTGACAGTCAGTACCATTGTCATTGTTGCCAGCATCTTTATCTTTACTATCAACATCGTTTGCCTTTTTTTCGATCAATGATGCATTTTTTGCAAGCCTTAGATATTATTTTTTTGTGATATTTTCTTTTTTAATTTTTATTCTAGATCTTTTTCCATTTATTTTATATCATTTTGTTGTAACTAAATCTATTTCATTTTGATTTAACTTGTTCTTACTTTTTTGTATGCGCTTTTTTGTATGCGCCGTGTGTTCATGCCCTGTTTCGGGCATTTGATTGGATGGAGAATAAATTCTCGTGCAATGTGATTGGGCCGGCGTATGCCTCTCCGTGTCACGACCGTGTTCGTGTCGTGAGCTTTTCACAGTTGCACGAAAACTGCTTTAAGTTAGTGTTTGTGATTGCTTAAGCACCGCAGTCGTTAATCCCTCTTGCATTTTTGCATATTTTTTTACTATTATAGAACGTTTGTAAGAACAAGCCGTGTCCTGCTAACAGTACTTGCAGAGCTGACTTCACGTACGATGGAGGCTTTAGCTGTTTGTGCCGAAGCGGCTATACAGGGTCAAGTTGTAGTGAAGGTAACTGTATATTTCGCATTTTTCTTTCTTTCCACAATTTAGAAGCTTTGTTTAGTACGTTGATTCTGCTATATTCTCGTACCCTTCCTTCAATTTGGAAATTGGCGGTTTTTTTATATAATATAGAGGGTTTTAGATTGCCTTTTTTTTCTTCCCCCAAACGGCAAACGTTTTCATCGTTTTCCTGTATTTTACTTTACCTTTAGTAAACCTTCTGACCAAACACAAATATTTCTTCGTTTTTCTACTACTTGGGTTTGTTTTGCGATTCATTTTCATTAATTTTAAAGAATTTTTCACTGGTTAACTGACGTTTCTCGATTAACGTGAACGTAAACCTATAACTCTCTAATGACAAAACTATGACCGACTCCGGGCAAATAATTCGGATTTCGCTTACCCCTTTCGAGATCCCATTTATTCATTTATGTATTGCCCAATTTCCCTGTCGCGACTGTTCGGCTCGATCAGCGCGTAGCAATGAAAAGAGTGGTAACATTTTGAAGGTTGTTTGCCTGCCCTG